TTATGAATCTTTGTGTGCGACTTTATATTGTCAAGCAGTTCGCTTAAATATTAAGTGTACAAGTACGAAATTGATTTTAATAAACAACTATGTTGAAACTTCAAATATTTTTCTCATGACAAGTATTTTCATGTTTATTTCCCATTCCCTCATAAAATAGGCTACACAAATCAAACAAGCTCTTATTCATTCTCTTTAAAATTTTATTTGTGCTAAAAATAATTGATTAGCTATTTACCAAATGAATTATTTAAATATTTTTTAATTGGGTTACGCGATTTTATAAAATTATTTCTTTTTGTACGCACTTTTAACACTGTAAGCAATTAATTTGTTTTAAACTAAAAACAAAAATGTATTTTGTAATATTTTTTACTTAAGTATTTATTTATTTATTAAGTCTTATATTTCCTTATTTCTTGATTAATATTTATTTTTGGTGGATAAGTTTCCTTTAAATGTTTTTAAATTGGTTATATCAATATCTATTTATCAATTTAATATTTTGGCAACTAACGTGCCCAAATTGGTTGTTTAATTTACGAATTCAAGAATTTTAATAAGGCCTAAAAATATTTTAATAGCTATTTATTAATTATAATTATTTGTTTATTGGCCGTTCAACCATACCATGTATATTTTATATATCGATATAAATAATCAACTAATTTTCGCTCTTTTGCCATCTCTTTGCAGGTAAGCAATTTTCTTCTTGTGAACATATCCACGCCCAAACTGTAGTATTCCCGAGTAAGTTTGGTATTCATTCATATAAATAAACAAAGCGTTTATCCATTCATATGCTCGCTCTATTCTACTCCAACTCGATTCCAACTGATCAGATGGAAATATTTCGATTTTACTTATACGCATTTCTGCTGGCCAAGTTAACACAGCTGGGAAAAGAGCAAAGAGCGATTCGTTTCGAAAATAAGACACAGATACTTGTTCATATAGCCGCCGATCCGAATGTATTTGTGATTGTGCATGAACAAGCAGTTATAAATAATTTCTGGCAAAAAATCAGCAACTTTTTCCGTTGATCTCCAAGTATAGAGCGTTGGCACGATGCCAAAGCGAATTGCGCATACGCCGTGTGGTCCATTCCTAATTCGCTGGCAGTGTGTGAGTGTTGGTATATGTATGCGTGTTTTTGAATTTATATGTGTCTGTATTTATTCTCTTCCTAATTTTCTCTCTGGAGAATTCACTCTTTAGTTCGATTTATAAATTTAAGGGATCTATAATAAATAATTCTCTTTTGTTTGTTGGTTTATTATCATAGACCACCTCAACTGAAAGGTCAGGGAAGTGGGTGGTTCAGAGGTGGGAAAATACCTCCTCCCCCTTTAGCTGTCCACGCTGCCAAATTGTTTGTCAGCTTCTCACATTTTCACATCGCATTTTCATCACATTTGTTTTTCTTTTCGTAGCGGCTGGTGATTTTCGTGGTGATTCTGTTGTGGCATGGCTCATTAATTTGCGTCTAATTAGTTTTGATTTTCGTTTGTCAATTGGTTGGAACAAGGATTCATTTTCCTTTTCCCTTTGTCCGCCCCCTCAATTTCCGCGCATCATTTTCCTCAGCTGACTTGACTTTGGCAAAGAACTTGTCGCTGCACAGATCAAAGTGGGCAGGCGAATGACACAAAATAAATATTAAATAAATATTAAATAAATACTGTGAGATGTTGTCCATTTGGCCATACAGTCGTTGTGATTTTTCCCGCACCACTCTTGTGAATTGTGCCCCAACCTTCGACAGCTGTCGGCCAATGCCAAGTGAAAAATTGACTGTCGGCTGCCTTAAGCGATTTTCGATGGGAGATCTCGCCATAAGTCCAACTCATCTATCTATGTACTATATTCAAAAATGGCCAATACTTTACTTATTTTGAATGAAAACAGTCCGTAACTAAATTTGTTATTGCATATTATTAATTTAGATTATAAAAAAATTGTAATTTTGAAAATGGTGTTTGGTCAAACTCAATGTGTTGTTAAAAAAAATTAAATTAAAACAAAATGTTTTTTATTTTTTGAATATTTAAACTTGAAATTGCACAATTCCACACCAATTTCACAAATCTTTTGTATTTTTTTCTGTGCACATTTGCTTGCCTCAATTTCCCATTCATTTCATTTCATTTCTTGACCAAATTTGGTCAAGGCGCAGTTCATTGTAATGCAATAAAATTCAGCCAACGAGACCAACGAGCATAACAATAACAAAAATCCATTTCGGTGGCATTTCAGCCTCCTCCTTCTCTCCCCCTTGAATTCCCCCTTGACCACTGCCACTGGTCTTTGTTTTTGTTGCTCATCATGTCCGTTGGTCTTTTGAAAGCTCAGACATCTTGGCATGCAATAAAAACAAACCACAGTGGCAAAAGGGAAAATGCAGCGGACCCAAGAAAATTTAAGAGGAACGAATGGGATGGGTGAAAAAGGGGGCGGCACAAGCTTGTTGCATACAAGGAAAATAAAACAGATGGGACGAGGCGGGCAGCTTTTCTGTTTGCATTTTGGCCGGGAGCCAAAAGTTTTGTCCGAGAACTCAGTGACATGACAAGCGATTTCTGCCGCTTCCCTCGCTCCTTTCAGCTAAATGGCTGAAATAATGTATTCATTTCTCCTCATGCCAATTGCCCAGTGCCATTTAACACTTCCTCAAGGGGCTGCAAAATGTAAATGGGGAGCGTTAATGGACTGGTCACTCAATTTTGCAAAAATTGCCAAGCCCATGGGGGTTAGGCTAAGGCGGGGCTAAGTGGGTTTAACCTCAATTATGGATGCTGAAAGAGTCAGAGGGAATCTATGATGCTACTCCAGGATGACTGCATTTCAAATTACGTGCAACTTTTTGTTTTTCTTCATTTATTATTCAAGATTTGTTTTATTTAACAGTTTTTAAATTATCATTTAATCCTTTGAAATTTAAATTTTGTCTAATTGATAGTCCTTTGGACTATTTAATTTCTTTCTTGGAAGAAAAAAGAATGTTAATTCTCCCCCCAAATAAAACTCTTGGTGGCTCCGTTTTTCTCCAAAGAACATCTATTCGGTTTATTAAATTTATTTCGATTATCGCTTCGATTTCTTTGATTTCATTGTTCAGATCTAGCTACAAGTTCGATACAATTGTATGGTTCAATTTCTTTTTTTGGGCTGCTTAGCACTTATCGATCGACGACTAAGACTATTATTGTTCGAATGTATATATCATATATCTAAGTATGTATAGTAGAGTATATAACCGTACTCGTAAAATGTTCCTCTATATTAGATTTCCTTTTTAATGTAAAACGTTTTATTTTTCGATTAATACATTTTGATTCTTCTTCGATATGGGTGTGTGTGTGTGTTGGTTGTGCGGTTTTTCTGCTTTAAATTCCTTTTTAAATTTTCAGCGGAGCCACTCGAAAAACTCTTGACAAACTTGGCCCACATCCGCTTAGAGAGCTTTGAGCGTTTGATGAAACTTTAATTTCCATTTGGACACACTGACAGCAATCAAGTTAAACCTCCCCGCCAAGAGTTAAATGCCCGGCCACGCCTCCTCAGCTGCCCCCTTTATTCCAGGGCCCATTGTAAAGTTTCAATGCTCGTTTTCAAACGGGGTCAAGTGTGTGTATGCCCCTCGAGGATTGAAGTGCTCAGGCTCAAAAGAAAACAATAAAACGCGCTGCGGCGTGCCAAAAGGAAAAACAACCGAAAAATATGAAAGCGCAACAAAATATATATAGAAAGAAAAACAGCCATTGAACAAAAAGCAACCCAAAAGAGCTAAAATACAGCCGCCTCGAGTGGGACTAGAAATCGATAAAGAACAAATACAAAACAACGCCCAACACTTTTCAATTGTTGCGAATTAAAACGCCCCATTTAAAGCCTGCCCAGAAAGAAGGAAGTAAAAATATTAAATGAAAATTTATCAATGTGACACATTCAATCAAATACTTTAACAGCAGAATGTGAATTAATTTTATATACTGCTGCTGCTGGCAAAAACAAAGAAAAAACGAGTATAATAATGAAAGACAAACAAGGTGGTGGCAGCAAAGTGTTCAATGAAAAATGCAAAAAATTATGAAATTAATTTATGCTTTTTTCATGCTTCCTTTGGCGATGGAAACTTCACTAAATTCTTTAGCTTCGGCTGGGGGAGTTTTTCATTGGTTTTTCTTTGCCTTTACCCTGTGGACTTTTCGCAGATAAAACAAATATAACAGTGTCAGTTTCTTAAGAATTTTTTAAGAAAGAAATCAATTTAGTCGTTTATAATATAATTAGGTTTTTAAAATTTCAAAATAACTATAGGAAATTTTCGGTATAAATAAAATTCTTATGTTTAACATACTAAAATATATATGACCCACTTTAATTATATTTTCTCTCAGTGATAGTGTGTGTTCCTGTGTGTTTTGTGTGCAGTGGTGTGTGGTGCGTATTGTGCACTCCCAAGACTACCGTTACTAATTAGTGCGCAACCTAGTTTAACAGTTCTTCGAGGGTTTATCTTCCTCCTGCGGTGATCCCCCCTTTGATCTCCGCCCCAACCCATAATTCCCCACCATTTTCCTCGACATTTTCCCCCTCATTCTCTGCGCTTTTTCCCACTTTTCTCACTCAACTGAGAGTTGAACCCAGTTGAGTTCCTTTTCTTATTAAATGGAAACCACCGCGGCTTGACTTGTAGCCTTTGCTTTTGTAGCGTCTTCATTTTTCAACCTCTTTTTCATGCCCTCAAGGGTGCACTGAAAAAAAGGAGAAAGTGTTGGACCTATTGCTCAAAACTAATATATTTTATCAAGTTAGTAATGTCTTAATGGTAATTTTGTCTATTATAGTACTATGCCTATGAGAAAAAATAGTTTTTAAAATAATTAAAATTTACTTCCTGCTTACTTATTCTAATTTTGAAAGTTTAAAAATAAAAATTGAATAGAAATTAGATGTATGCATATTCTATATGGTTGAATGGAAGATACAGTCTCCAATTTGATCTAAATACTTTTAACTCTTTATTGTTTGGCTCAACTTTCCATTGAAAAATTCTTTCTTGAAACATTGTTGTCTGTGTCTTTTGGGTGGTTCTCTGGGTGGTGTCTATATCCTTGCTAGACAAATATAATTTCATTGCGCTCCGCTTTGTGGGGCGACGGCTGGCGTTGGAACGCGTAAACGTTGACGATTAACTGCGCCATGAAAATGAAGCAAAATAAAACGATTAGAACTAAATACAGAAAGATATCGCGCAGCATTGCTTGGAAGGAGGTTTTCACTCGGGCAGAGGCCAAAGCTCCAGACTCCGGCAGACTCCAGATGTCATGGCTCCGCTGCTGATTTTCCCGCTGTTGCTGTTGCTTTTCCGGCTGCCCCTCGTCTCATTGCCTCATTACGCCTGTGCAAATGGGAAATGGGCAACGGAGGTGGAGATTATGCGGAGACCAGCTGCAATGAAAAGCAGAACGGGGAGTCGTGAGTGAAAAGCAGATGGAAATAACGCGCAGATTATTCATATCCCTCCATCACGCACGTCAGGGATGAGGGAAAAAAAACAGAGCAAGAATCAAAACCAGAAAAAAAAATCCAGAAGATGAAAACATATTTTGAAAAGGCGACAAGCTAGAGTAAGGTACATGTCCATACCCATGCCAAATTTAGTTTAATTACCTAAGTAACACCATTAACACAACATTTTTATATCAATTATAATCTTTAGACAATAAAATAAACTTATTTTAGTTTGTGTGTTCATTTTCAAAATGTTTTAAATTAATATCATATACCCTTTTTATATGGACTTTGCAAAGCTAACTAAGATGTTTTCAAAAAAATGCTGAAAGTACCATTCAAAAATTTTAAAATTTGTATAATAGATAGTAAAGATTGGATGTTTCTACAGTACCAAACTAACTCTTTAGTTGTCTAATTCATATATTATAACTCTGAAGCTTTAGTTTCCCCAAAAACATAATATTAATAAAACGCAGACAAGAAACCCATATCTTGCACAATAAAAACAAAAAATATATATTTAATGTAGCGTATACAGTACAGTGATTTATCCAAATTATGGGGACAAGGTTACAAGAAAAAATCGCATGGAAAGATAAAGAAGAAGCCTGGACAAAGGATTATCTCTGGCCGAGGAGAAATCCGTTGCCTGGTTTCTGTTCCTCCTGCTCCCGGGTGAATTACATGCTGGGCTTAATCTTTCTTTTTCCCCAGCTGCCTTTTGGCAACACGAAAAGTTCTCGCCTGCCGTTTTCCCTCCCGCGACTTTTGCGACACGGGGAACAGAACACAAATTACGCATACGCCGCGTTGGCCGTCGAAAAGAAAGGGGTAGAGAGAGGAGAGAACTGAAGACGTCCAACTACCAAGGATTCCCACATGCACGGATGTATTGCACAATTGCATTTCTTGTTGCCAGATGCCACTGATGTTTTTTACTTACTTTTTGCCCAACTCTTCATTCCGCTGCCATTGTTGCACATTTGCTCCTCATGTTGCCCAATATGTTGGCCAAGAAGCAAAATGGCTCGGAATGGGAGTACGTGGTAAGGAAATTAAACAAATGAAATTTAAGCTGAGCGGGAACTGAACAGCCCACAAGCGAAATTAGATTCCCAGATTTAAATGGAAAAAGGCGGAGCTTTCCACATGAGCAACATGTGCTCGGAATGCATGCCACTCGACCTGACTTTTTGACGTGCCCCTCGAACTACTCCTTTTTCGGGGGCCTTCGCTCTGCATTCTCAACTTCCACTCGAATCCACTCGAGCCGCTTTCAATTAGTAGGGGAATAATTTAAATAAAATTGAATCCCAGTTGGGAAAAAAACGAACCGAACTCACGAATAAAACTCAACAAAAAATACCTAAAAACACCTGAAATAATTTGACCATTTCCATTGCATTTTATCTGGCCTTTTTCCAAAACCTTAATTGGGCTGTCCGGAAAATAACTCAAAAATAGTTTGTGTGATATGCTTAAAATTAACAACCTGTCACAAATAAAATTTATATTTCTTTAAAATAACTATTCATTTTTTTTCGCTTTTTTTATCATCCATTTTTCCTTTAGTTTTTTTCAATAAAATGGCCAGTTGCTATTTTGTTTTTGATTTTGGTTTACCTTTTAATAAATTTGCCTTAAGGAATTTTACGAGATTTGTAATTCCTGGAAATTTGCCCTGAGTGTAAGCCCATATTAAACGGTTCCAGCTTCAGTTCAAAAAAGGACTATGAGGTCATGAGTTTGCTAGCAGGTCAAAGGTTTTGCCATCTGCATTCGGGGATTAAAATGCAAACTGCCAACTGCAATCATCAGGCATCCGGCGACCTGGAACGGACATCGCAAGGGGAAGCTTTTTGGCGCACCAAAAATCATGGGACGCTTTCAATTAAACGCTTATCGCAGCCGTAACACTCGTTGAATAAGTTTTGGTCCTCGACCCCGGGCTCTTCTACCCTATGTCCTATGCCCTATGTCCTAATGCCATCCCCCCTATACGCCCAACTCCGCCAAAGAAGAAAAACAATTTTCAAAAGGCCGTTCTGCCACATTCCATGGCTAGCACATCATTAGTCCGACTTTCGAAAGGGGCGGGGTTTTGAAACAAAGCGAAGCGCATCAAAGATTATGAAACTCATTAAAAAAGTTTCGGCGGGGCAACAAATCTAACAAGCTGAAGAATGTGACGCAGCTGCCACGCCCCCACGCTGCCTCTTTTCCCCCATAACTAAAGGTCAACAGAAAACAAAATAAAAATAAAAAAAGGGGCAGGGAGGTGAAAGTAAGTGGGAGAGTTGGTAGCAACTGGTCAGTTGGATTTGATCTTTCCTTAAGCTGTTTATTTTTAGCTTTAGCAAAAAATGGCAGTAATAACAAAGTAAAGAGCATATATTTCATACATTTTTAAAGGCTGCAAATATATGGAAACTTTTGAATAGTTTAAAAACATTTTTTCAAGTCTTTAAGACTGTTTCTGTTACTAAAAATTTTAAATTTCAACAAATTCTAAAAATCTAACAATAAACTGAATTTTCTTATTCAAAATCAGGGAAACGTTAAGTAAGTTTTGACAGAGCAAACCTTGAATATTAGATACATGGTTCATAAGTATATAACATTTTTACATGTAATTTTTGTATTAATTTTTGTTTTGCGTTAATAGTTTATAAAGCCTTAATTAATTTTAAAGAATTTAAATAAATTCTTATACTTTTATGAAATGTTATTCACATTATTTTCAATTCACTCAAACAGCATTTAGAATTGTTTATTGTCCTCTGTTCCCATGATATTAAACTTATATAACACCACTTTTATTTCAACAGCGGTAGTAAATAAAACTAAACGACTACGTGATACCCCCTAATAAACGAGTCTCCCGAGACAACTTGCAGCCTGTTGCTTGGAGCGGAAATGTGTGCCTGGGTTGGATTCGAGAACGCTTCATAAATTAGATGTCAAAGCCGAAGGATCAGACACCCATGGCAACACGCACATCTGCGCACACGTGTGTGTGGAAAAGGGTCAAAGGTTGTCAAAGGAGTTGGGCCAAGAATTCTTGCCTCGGGCAAAAGTTTGCGGCGTTTGGCAAACTTATTAAAGAGTTCGAAGCCAAAACAAATTGGTAGGGCGAGGAAGGAAAACTTGTCAAGGCATTGCGGCCATTAATTTTCACTGGCGGCGCACACAAAATGCAAATGAAACTTTTCGCCGGAATGTTGACAGTCAGTCTGTCAGTGCGTCAAAAAGAGGTCACAAAAGTCAATGAAGTGTTAAATGTCCTGCGGTGTTTGAGGGATTATCCTTACGCCTTATGCCGCAGCGCACACACATGTCCAATTTTCTGCGGCTTTCCATTTGCATTTATGCGTGTTTGACTTTCATAAATGCCCACATCTAGTAGAAAGCATTCGCCGTCATATAATTAAAGCAACAATGCCAAACAAACTCGCGGCATAAATCACTGGAAGTATTCCCTGGCTTTTCCCCAGCCTCATTCATGAGTTTCTCGGCTGGGATTCCATTCATGGTAAAATACTCTGCGCTCACGCACATTTATGAGAAATATTCTTCCCCTCCACGCCAACCAAAAAAAAAAAGGATATACACGTTACCAATTTATGCTGAGCCGCTCGTAAACTGCCCAAAAAGGCAACAAAAAATTTCGCTAACGAGCCAAAGCGGTAAACTCTGTTTCCTTTATTTTTTTTTTTTCGTATCACTTCACTTGCAATTCTTTTCGGTTCAACGCGGCGTATGCGTGATATTTCGTTGTTTAGGCTTCGATTGTGTGCTCTTGTGGCCAAAGTCGCGTTGTTTTCAGTTCGACGTTGCTGACGCGACTCCGGTTTTTAGCCGATGAAGGCCGCTTCTTATAGCAGCCGCCGTTCGTGGCTCCAGCTTCGTCCTTTATTCTTCGTCCTTAATCGGACGAGCCTCACCAGTTGAACCTGTGCCTCGGTTGAGCACTCGGCATTCGGTTCGTTATTTTCGTGCCGGAAATTGTTGTTCAACAAATGCAAAGAGTTCTCAGTCAACAGGCAGAAAAACAAGAAACAAGTGGGCAGTGGGTGGTGGGCGGTGGAAAGCGCATTGCACATCCTTGTACATCCTTGAGCAATCAGTGGAATTCACTGAATGGTGATCTTATCAAAATTGCAGTGCGAAAATGCTGCTTTAAAGGGTTGATTTTCATAATATAATCATACAAATTTATACACTTCTTAGAGATTGCAATGATCAAATCCAATGAATATTAATTTTAGTTTAATAACTTAACTTTTAATAATGTTTCTGTTTCTATAGTTATTTTAATTTAATTTGTATATATTAAGGTATACAGACTTCTTGAAAAATCTTCTGTTATTCTGTTATTCCTTATCGATCTGACAGTTCATGAAGGTCCTGCCCCATCTTGTTTCACCAAAATCCACAACCATCAATTTTTCTTGTTTGCGCCGCCTTCCGCCATGTCATGTTTATATTTTCAGCCGCATCATAAGGCAAACATTTTAATTTGCCATAGCCTGTAGTGCCACGCCCCCACACAAATACCGCCCACGCACAGGAGGCGCACAAATATTGACACTCAACTAAGCCGGCAGGCAAACGCTGACCAAAGTCAACGTTGACACCCCCTGGATATCTTTTTGCAGATCCTTCGCTGATGACGCCAATCATGTACTTGTGTGCCAACTCCTCCCTTTTAAAAGGGAAAACAGGGGCGTGGGCAAAGGGGGTGGCTTCCCTGCCGTCAGTTGGCGTGACAAGCAAGACTTTCGACTTACAGGAAGCTGAGTGAAGGGAAAGCTGAGAAGACATCGGCACAGTTTGTTATTATTTAAATCAGGAAGTCGACGAAATTTCCTGTGCCAGTGGGCATGGCCAACAAATTGGCAGCTGACTTCCGCAGTCGAGTCAATTAAATTTTCCCTTTAAGTGATTTCTGTCGCCATCAAATGTCGCAGCTTCCCATCTTTGGCCACCTTTCCCTCGGTTTCCTTTTCCTTTCCCCACCTCTAATGAGAAATCGATGTGTTGTAATTTGTTCAAATCCAATTTCGAAGTACGGCCGTGCCTGAAACCGTAGTCCGGAGTCTAAAGTCCGGACGGCACACCTGGCATCCAATTGTCACTGGATCCTGCGGGTACACAGGGAATTGCCTACATTTTTATTTAAAATTAAATTCCATTTATAAATAAAATACACAAATTTATATTGTGCCTATCGAGCATGCTCTATATATATATTTAACTTTTCTGTAGAAGAAAATGTCAATAAGTTTTATACCTTTTTTTTAAATTTTATTTTCAATTATGGTTTAAATTCAATTAAATAAATAAGTCTAAATATACTGTAGAAGAAAATGTCAATAAATTTGATACCTTTTTGCCAATATTCAATTATGGTTTAAATTCAATAAAGTAAATAAATCTAAAAAGCAGGAACTAATATATTTCAAATATAAAATACAAATTTTTATTTCCTCCAAAAAATAGGTAATTCAAATTCCCATACATTTCTGGGTATTCAGTACTTCAAACATTACAAATTGAATTTCTCATGTTTATATTGTGGCATAAATACTTTATAGTACTTTTTACTATTTTCATTACTTTTTAGAAGGTATAACTTTTTTAAAGGCACGTCAATAGTAAATACAGATAGTAAATAATTTATTTTGTACCTTTAATACATATTTTTTCAGTACATTCCCACCCCCATTTCCCCTGTTTTGGGGGCTCGTTTTAATGAGTTTTTATTGCGCTTCAGGTGCTTTGATTGCGATTTTTAACTTGATTTACACGAGTTTAGTGAACGGGAGTGAGGTTAAAGCCCACTATTGATTTTTCAATTAAGCTGGACTCCCCCTCAATCAAAACCCCTACCTCTCTTCACCCCTCCTCTGATCCCAATGCATTTTGCATGTTTTTCGCGTGTTGCCAACATTTGTTTTGTGAGAAAGCCACCGAGGAATGACTGTCTTTTGTAGCAAGTTTTATGCGCCGCATCCTGTGCACAAAAAGCATAAAGCAAAGAGGGGGTATACTATAGGGGAGTGCCCACTGTAGAGGGGTATGGATGGAGGGGGTATATGCCATACCGCGTTGTAGCGCAATTTATGCGGTAATTGCTTTTTTAAGCGCTTCGCATTTATCTTTTCGACACAAGTGAAATGAGTTTCTGCCTCCTTTGCGTGCCTTTTGTCGATTTGCCAGAGCAGCAACAACAGCAATGAGGATAACAGTCTGCTAGGATATCAACAACAACAACAACTAACGATGGCAACAACAACAAAAAAACAGAAACCGCCTGTCACAATGCCAACAAAAGCCAAAAAAAGGAAGCTCAACTACTTACAATGGCATTTTTATGACGTCTTCTATTTGTCTGCTCATCACGTTTTGCCCTTGCTGCCACGCATCCTGACCCCCTACACTACAAAAAAAAATTCACCTATCTGGGGCTAATATCGATTTAAATTTTTATTATATTCTAACACAAGGTGTTTAATTTTAGTATTGGCTTTATGTTATGTTATTATATTTACTTTTAAAAGTCTAACTTAAAATCGAAGAACAATTTATTCCGAATAAAGTAAAAAATTCTTTTATTTTTTGACAGTGATAGCCTAAGATTCCTATATCAATACTGAAATTTTATTTAAGGTATATTCTTCTGAAAATTTCTTTCCTCCATTTTTGCCAGTGTGGTTAACCCGCTACCGCTCGCCATTTCCTCTTGAAAAGTATGCAGCACCTCCTGTTATTGTTGTTTATGGAAATGCCGCGCAAGTTTTTTCCTTGCCCTTTCACCCCTCCTTACCCTCCTTTACCAGTACCCTAATTAATTTAACGCAATTCGCTCAAAAATTACACAAGAAAAATTGATAAAATGAAACGAGAATGAAAATGATATGCAGGACGGAAATGGTCGCATTTGGATTCTTTGGACGAGCCGCTTGATTTATAGCGTGCATTCTGGGCAATTTTAATTTTATGTTGTGCCCATAAAAATTACCCGTATGGAAAATTTGTCATTTTAGGTTTAAGCGAAATTGAGACTTAATGGTAGCAGGTAATGGGTTTTTCTGGGGCTTACGTATATGAGTTGTAATTATTTTCTTCATTAATAGGAAACAAAATACTATAAGATTGTGTTTTTATAACTTATATTTAATAAAACCTTGAAAATCAGTAGCACTTTGATAAAAATGTAAGCTAATTTTTTACGCAAACTAAGTTTTTTATTATTTTTTTTAATATTTTTGAATTTCCAGTGGCAATAGAACTTTGGCGGTCATTTAAAGCAGTAGCTCTCAAACTGTAAACTGCAGATCATACAAAACTCACAGTTCTTTTTCTTAAACTCTCTTTATCTTGCTCTCTCACCTAAAAATCTACCGCCAGCAACAACAATTAATTTTTTAATAATTGAATATGCTAAAAATAAAAATTTTACTTGATTAAAAAATAAAGTTTATAAAAGAAATACAATGAAATTAATGTTAGTAAATTGAAAATAAATCCGAATTTATTGTTTTGTATACTTAGTAGGTTCAAATTTATGATTTAAAAGCCTCTTGGTTTTGAAAACCGCGGTCACATTACTGAGCTTGGTTTGAGCAAGAGCCCCAAGTGTGACCATTCGACGATAACGGTGAAATAACACCGCTCCCAACCTTTTTGGCAGGTTTTTACTATCACAGCGCAACGGTCACATATAGATATATCCACTATTTTGCAAAATAAAGTTTGTTCGTCAGTTAGCATTAAACTACTAGCAATTAAACAATTGCGCTAGCTGCAATTGTTGGTGTGCTTCAGGAGATAAACATATTTCCAAACACGCGGGTTTCTGTCAGTAAAAGCGGTTTTCAATCGGTGTTTCTCGTGTGTCACGCCCAAAAAATCAAAAGCAAAAAAATTCTAGTGCGTGTCAAAAAACCAAAAACAGTGCAATAACAACAACAAAGGGCAGCTAACGGCGAACCAAAGGCTCAAACAAAGTCACAAAAACAAAACAGCAACAACAATGGAGGTTAGTGGTGTAGTAATAGTTGTTGCCGCTCAAGTGTTTAAATTGTTTTTTCATTGATGTTTTTTTTTTGGGCTGTTTGCCTTGAATGATTTCATTTCATTAAATTATTTTGTTTGCTGGTGTTTTCTCTCTCACTCTCTATCTCCGCCGAACGATTACGTCAGTTTTGTCTCTCTCTTTTGAGTTCTGGAGTTTGCGCTCTCCGCTCTCATTGTATCTCTCTTCGTCATCAAACATTTTTTTGTCATTCAACTTCAACCCCATTTTTACCTCGTACCCCCCATATTTATTGATTCCCTCATCCATTCATTAACTCACTAATTTTAATAGTTTTATTATGTCATCGCACAGCTTTCTTTTCTTTGTGTCTTTTGTTTTGTGTCTCAATTTAAGCATATTTAGCATTTTTATATAATATCGGGGTAAATTTCCTTTTCGTGCTGAAACAGCTGTTTATGTTCGTTTACCGACATTTCGCGACCTTATCTCGCATATCGAGTTACTCATTTCCCAGCAATGACGTTATAGATATCGAATTCCCACCTTTTAGATTATAAACCCTTTGTAAAACCAGTTGTGCGAGATAAGCATTCTTTTTGGCCGGCCATGTATTATATCTTTTACACACCAGATTAATTACTTTAATCTTTCCTTAGAAGAAGAGCATTTAATTACATATGTTGATCTAAGCAGTCTCTACAGTTTTTTGTTTACAAAATTTTCAAAAACGTTCCTACTGTTTATAAAATAGTTTAAAATTTTTTAAAACCTTTATGCTATTTAAAAATAAATTTGTTTCAATCTAG